AATCCTCCTGCCAGTCTGGCGCAAGGGGCTGAAATATCCACTCTTCAGTTTTGGGTTTTTTTCCCTCACCTGGATTTGGGGTGCTGGGCTGACACCTGGCCCTGAGGAAGGACCAGGCTCTCCCAGCTTGCCATTTGCCATGGGACATTACCTCCTTGCTTCCACAGCCCGGCCTTCCCACGGGCGATGCCGGGGATGGTGGTAAGGGCAAGGAGGGACTGGCCCTCGGACCTCCAAGATGGTGCAAGAACGGGAAACCTGTCCCAGAAATCTACCCTGGATCTCCATGGGTAGATCAGCATCTCAGGGGCTCTGAAGAGGTCACTGTTTGGTGGCAAAGTGAGGGGCTGGGGGACCCTGTGGCAGCGAAGCTGGAGGCAGAAGAGAGCCCTGACCCAGCAGGCAGTGGCTGTAGGCATGGGGTCCCAGGGACAGTCCCTTGCCAGGCTGGCGGAGTCCATGGCCATGTTTTCTATCTTGGTACCTCATCAGCCATCCCCAGTGTCAAGGCCTGTGCTGGAAAGTGAAAAAAAGATTAACAAACCACTTTTTGAGTGTCTCCTGGGTCCTAAACCTGCAACATTCATGACTTTCCCTCCCAAAATCGTCCCAAGATCCCCTGGCACACAGGATGCCCCCTCGTTCAACACACCGAAGGGACTGCTGTCCCCTACTGGCATTGGTGAAGACCACTGTGGTGACCAGCCCGCTCTAATCTGGCAAAGCCACCCCAGGGGAAGCAGAGGGTATTTTTAGTAGCTCTCTGTGCAGATGAGCAGCTGCAAATGGGGAGCATGTCAGCCTCCTGCACTGGCCAGCTTGCCCCAACCTGCCCACAACTGCTCCCCACTGCTCAAATGCAGGGTCCTGGGGAGCCGCAGTGCCTGGATGGACCAATTCATTCCCTCTGCAGCCATACCGATAGGTTTGTGGTTTAGGTTCAGATTCAGACTTATTTTCCCAAAATCCCTGTCCTCAGGGCCTGTGGGGCTGCTTCCCAAGAGCTACCAGCTGGGAGCTGAGCAGGTGCCCTTTGGCAAAGCATACGGGCCCTCTGGCACCATGACAAGGCTTCCTTCTCCTTGCAATAAAGGGGTGAAGATGCTGCTGAGATGTCTTGCTCCATCCCAGGGTGGGTGAAACTGCCAAGCACCCGCGTACCATCAACTCGCCTTCAAGTTGAGTTTTGTTCTCTCTGCCTTTTGTCCCTCAACACCAGCTCCTTCCAAGACTTTGCTGTGTTTCCCTCTGCCTGGACAGCAAGTAAATTAATAGCTGCACTTCAAGCATGGCTCGGCACCCTGACATGGCCAAGAGGCAGCCAGCATAGCTGGGGCCATTGGGAGGGACATGGGGATGTTGCACCAAGGATGCCACCAGCCACTCACTGTCCTTGTGCCCCCAGGGTGCCATGGCCTGGCCACCCCAGACCCGCCGGCCCCAGCAGCAGGGTGGCTCACACTCGCCACCCCCGCCCGTCTCCACCGGCACCGTCTTTAATAAGAAGCGTGGAATATTTTAGCACCTATGGAAAAGCCACCACAGACGGTGGTGGCAGCCGTTGCCAGGGAGACGCTCCCAAAAATAGCCCCACTCCGCCAACCTTTCCCGATGCTGCTGTGGGGATGAGGGAGGCAGAGGAATGGAGGGACGAAGGGATGGAAGGGTGGAGGGATGGATAGAGGGATGGAGGAAAGGAGGGAAAGGAAGGAGGGAGGAATGGATGGATGGGTGGATGGATGGATGGATGGGTGGATGGATGGATGGATAGAGATGGAGGTGTGGATTGATGGACGGATGTGTGGATAGAGGGGAAAGCAGGAGCTCCTGAGAAAGTCCGTGAACCAAGCTCTCCAGGTCACAAGGGCAGAGGTGGGGAGAGACAGAGGTGGCCCACAGTACTCAATCCCAGCCCCTTCA